CTTACATTGTGAAAAACCGATAGATTCAAATAAATACATGAACAGTGCTAACCTCTTCGAAGGAGAGGTGAATCACCGATTAATGATGATTCGTACAATGCGGATCGGATTTACAACAAAGCAAATAGTTCATAACAGAAGGTATAACCTTTGAGAAAATATATATCATGACCCACCTAAGGCTGCATAAAAGCCTTTGAAAGCCGCATTGAAGGGAGTGGAACCGAGTTGGAAAATATGGAAATGTTCTCAGTCGCAAGTGAATGCTAGAGAATTCCTAATAGCTTTAACGACGTTCGTGTGGAATAATAACGTTCAAAGCTCGTTCCATAGAAAACATGTAAATTTTTTTCCTTTCTAGAGTTGCAGAGCTTTCGGGAATTTGTATGAAATTTAGCGTAGCTTTTGAGAACCATATACAAGGGTTTCGTGAAAATACCTTAACACATAGAGTGCCTCAGAAGCTCCTCTGCTATTACAACAGGCCCTTATTCCGATATTATTTCAACCAGCTAAGCCTTTCACTTTAGCGAGAAAAAGCCGTTCCAGCCCTTTCGAGGATATTGAAATTCAAATAATTTTACATGAAGTCATTCCAGTACGAAAAAGAGGAAATAATCAATGACAGTCACTTTTATTGTTCACCCTCTAAACTGAGATTATGTGATTTTATGCACGCCATCAACGAATCTTTTAAATTATAACCTCACAACGGAAGGATACTTAATCGAAGTGGCGACACAAAATGAGGTAAACACTGTCAATTGTAACTTGGATCGCTTAAGAGCTTCACTCAACCATCTTATAATACACCTGCTCAATGTAATCCCAGATCATTGATCTTACGAAATTATCTCCTCACACGGGAACCCGTTGGAATCGCTCAAGTGTTCTTGGAGCGGCGATCTTTGGTATTTGCTTAGACAACACCGTTGGTGCTTCAACACCTAATTGAGCTCCGTATTTGGAAATATTTTGGCGGCTTTTGTGCTCTTTGTTTCAATCTCTGTTATTTTCCTAATTTAATGCTCTAATCCATCGTTTAAGGTTATCGTTATATTGATTCAAAGCAAACTAATTATTCCAGATGATCTATATGATATTTTTCTTGTTTTCTTCGTCCATAACAATCATTTCTCCGTTCATTGTTGGAGGCTGTATTGGTCCAAAGTCGGTGTTGGAGCGCTATCTCAAGCCAGAACAGAAAGCACAACTCCGAAAATATATTCACAGTGCATTCGACGGTACCAACTCGGATCAGGTTTGACCGAACGCTTACTGAAAGCATAAACTGGCTCACATTTATTCTTTTCGTAGGTCCTAGCCAATGTGAATACTTATGTCCATAGCGTTCTTCTTCCGGATCAGTGGAATAGTATTCTGCCGGAATTAAGGATGTATCAAGGGCAGAAACGCGAGTGCTCAATATACGCTCAGCTGTTGCCAACTGAAATGTACAAAAAGCTTGTAGTGAGTTTGGGAAATTGCCTGTTCTCAAAAAAAAAACATGCAATAGCGAGGAGACTACTTCTTCCAGAATTCCGTTTTCAAAGCTAAGGAACTGGGTGCAGACGACCACGATCTTAGGCGGCTAGTCGAGGATTATGTAGAACGTGCCATGCAATCTGGACTTGTACCACAAAAGAACATACCTGCTCAACTAAAAACAGCTCATCCCAGTCCTTCTGCTGTACGTTACAAGCCAAGAATTCGCTATTACCCCCAGCGAATAATCCATGAATTAATTCCACCGCCATTATCGAGAACCTATGTACCAAAAGTTCTGTGAAAGAATCCCTGTTTGAAGACAGAATATCTTCCTGAATCCGAGTTTAGCTTTGATTTGGTATATATCCCATATTTTCCTTTTCATAATGCTTTAATTATGCAAGAGTGGCAGTCAACCGATTTTATTGCCTTGTATATATGTATAATTGAAGGACTTATTTCGTTTCAAGTCATAGCTGTTCTTCTTCCAACTCCTCTAAATATTTGCATAAACTTTGCATAAACGAATTTCTCTCAACGAGGGTTTTGATTATTAACTAGAGCTCATTCTCCAATTTTCAGAGTTTACAGTTCGCAGTACTAATTAGTAGAATTTATCTAAACTTGGTCAAGGGTAAGTCACACGTCCAGTCCTTCTTGTCATTAATTGCAGTACGATTAAGTAATTGTGGAATTTCCTGATTGGTCATCTGCGAACTTCCCTGTCAATGAACTATTGTATTAAAGGTCTTGACACGAGAACTGAAATTCATTCCATTACTTTTGCTTGTTGTGTTGAATTCTAACAGTTCATAATTTAAACTAATGCTTCACAGCTTTACTTCTTACTAATATTTTGTCATGTAAGTTCCTAAGAAATTCATCCAACACATAAAGCAGATATGAAATAACAGAAAAAGTAATCAGTGAATTGTGAGTTCTACTTTGTGAGAACGTAAACAAAACTATTTATTACTACTCTATTCACCCTATTTAACTCTATTTATTCACTTGAACCGATAATTCTTGATATCCCTCACAGCCTTAATTTCTGGATAGCACTTCCAGCTTCGTTCCTTTTTGATGAAACACACCTTGCAAGCACTATACACCGTGATGTGTTAGCATTTTTCGAACTAGGAATAATTGTAATACTGTTCATCGTAGTACTCCAGATTCATTTTTGTTCAACTTATATTAGATCGACGCATGAAATCCAACGAAGATTCTTGAACAAGTTTTGCATCTTTATTACAATTAACATCTAATTATCTAAAATCCAAGTAACAAGTTATTTGGTAAAGTGAAATATTGTTATTTACTGAATTTTGTCGGAGTTGGTACGAGCACTGAATTAAAGCGGTATCTCCTACTTATTGAATGAGAACAAACACGTAAGCAATACTCATATAATTTTATTCATCATATAGAAATCTGATACATCATATATGGCACTATATAACTCTTGAGTAAATCTCATTGCAGAACAGCAATTTAGTTTTTCCGGTTTTTACGAGAGAATATATATATATATATATATATATATATATATATATATATATATA